AAATGTACTCAATTAGATGCAACTCAAACAGAAATGGCCGTAACATGTAATATTTGGTTTTAAATGGCTTTAAGAACTTGGGGACCTAATTGTAAGTTTTTAATAGTTGATTCGAAATATAAAATGATGATCGAGAATGAAATGGACTTAGCTGAATGTAATTGGAACAATAATGACCGATCCATATAATATTTGATTGAAAAGTTGCTTAAAAAAGTTTGGGGATCCAATTGTAACTTTCTAATAGTTGATTCAAAACATAAAACGATGATCGATAATTAAATAAACTCAATTGGATGCAATAAACAAGAATGACCAATCCATGTAATATTTGGTTGAAAATGGCTTTAAAAATTTGAGGACCCAATTGCAACTTTGTAATAGTTGATTTGGAACATAAAACGATGATCGAGATTTAAATGGACTCCATTGGATGCAATTGGAACAAGAATGACCATTCCATGTTATATTTTGTTCCCTGAAAACACAAGAATGACAAATTATTATATAACAAATTCTAGTATTATGAATGTACATACAAACTCTCTTTTTGATTCCCATTATTTTTAAAATATGTTTTTTACCTTTCTTCTTTTCAACGATACATTTTTTAATAAAAAATATTATACATAAACCCAAAATTTTTTATTATTTTTCAATCACGCATTTTTCATCAATCTATTATTAAAAAATTCATTTTTAGTCTTTTAATGGGGGGATCAAACAATGTCTCAAATGACTTAAAACATTTGAAGAACCAATTGCAACTTTGTAATAGTTGTTTTGCAACCTAAACGATGATTGAGAATAAATGGACTCAATTGGAACAACAATGACCAATACATGTAATATTTTGTTCCCCAAAAAAAACACAAGAATAACAAATTATTGTATAACAAATTCTAGTACTATGCACGTAAATACAAACACTTTGTTTGATTCCCATTATTTTTAAAATACATTTTTTTATCTCTCTTATTTCAACGACACATTTTTTAATAAAATAATATTATACATAAACCCGAATTATATTAGTGCTGCTCATGGCCCAATTCGAATGACTTGGATGGCTTTAAGGTATTAGCCCACTTATGATGTTTCTATTGGGCTTATTATTTTGACCTAAAAGCCTAACCTATTCCTAATCTATTTAGTTTGGTTGTCCACTACTATTACCTTGTGAAAAAATCAAGCAGCCGCCCCTTTGAGAAGTTGAGAGAACCAATTTCTTGTCTTTTGCTCTGTGTACTTTGGCTGTGTCATTCCCTTGAGAAAATCGTCCCTTTCTTCTTTACGGGTGAGCCTTTGTAGCTATTTTCTTGGCTGAAATTTCTCACCCTTAGTCCTTTTTGAGTTGTACAAATTTGAGCAACCATTTATGTTTGGGAAGTGTTGGTTTGGGGTTCTATTGGTTGATTTTGGTGTTATTTGGAGATTAACTGAGCCCGGATCTTGGAGCAATTGAAGAAAATAACTTACATATGGTATCAGAGCAAGGTTGGGGTAACTTTTACGCCACAAATCGACCAAATCAGCAGAAACAATTTGAGCAGAAAACTATTCAGTTTTTTATTCAAAAATCAAACATGCAAATCAACTTTCCGGCCAAACCAGTGATCTATTGGAAAATCCAAGACAACCAGCGTGTTCAGCAGGTCGAGCAGCTGGTGGGTGACCAATGGGTGAGGTCGGTGGCGGCGCGTGAACACCACGCACAGAGGGGTTTGGCAACGCGTGGGGCTCCTGGAGAAACTTCCATTAGGCAGTTTTTTCACTTTGATTTCCTGAACGTACTGATATTCTTGTTTTTGTGTTTCAGGTTACGCGGAAAAAGGTAGATAATTTTGCCCCTGCTTTCATAATTCATTTTTCGCTCAGTTGGTTGATGCAGTTGTTGAAGACTTTAGGGCGAATAGTGGTGGCCCTAAAGTGTTAAAATTATATTTTTTGAAATTTACGGACTCAGATAAATTTGCTCTGGTAAATTGGCTTATCATGTTTAAATTTCGACATTAGTGCGTCATCGTGTGAGATGACATTAAGATTGGGGTTACCATGAAGTGGTAACCATTGCTTGTGCTAGAAATTAGGAATTATTTGCTCTTTGTTTGCTACATGATTGAAATTTGCTCTTTTGATCAATTGAAGAATATTATCGTTCGTGATATACTGTGAGTGAAACTATTTTTTGTTATTCTCTCTGGTTTCATTGATAAGTTGGTAGAATACCTAGACCTTACCCGTTTGAAAATTCCATTGATCTAAGATCGTGAATCTTACGAAATCCTGGGAATCTAAAATAGTGTATATTTACGAACTTAGGTCTACTTTGTGTGGCTTAATCGTGACCTTGTGTTTTTTGTTTGAAAATGACAACGCGCAATTTT